AAGGATCTAGCTTATTATTACTTCTGACACTTTGTGCACCTAATGGCTATACTCAAAGAAAATTTTAAAACCTTTGACAACTCATAATTTCGTTATAAAATATTTTTTTACATTAATAAGCGCCAATTGGAATGATTAGTCCAACTTTTTTTTCATTTCTACATCATCTAATTCCTTCATTTTTATACAGATCTGTCTTTGCCTTTTTCCCACTGTCAAGTAAATTGTGATATGCAAATGGCATAAAAAATGAAAGAATATTGTCATACATCCTTTTAATAAAATGAAATGGTCCAGGTTTTGTCATAAAATGCCATGTGAAGTCCTTTCTGTTGAATGACTAAGCCAGGCATCCTCAAACTATGGCCTGAGCCATAAGCCATAAGCCACATAAGCCACATAAGCCATAACTATATGGGTGCCTAGCACATTTATCCTGCCCTCCGAGCGTTTTTTGCCACCACTGCCTGTCCTGGTTAGCAGCGGACTCGTCCTGGGCCCACAGTGCGCACTCTCCAACAGTCTGAGGGACAGTGAACTGGCCCCATGTTTAAAAAGTTTGAGGACCCCTGGACTAAGCTGATAAGAGTACCATCCTTTTGTCCTTAGAAGTATATTGTTCTTCTAATAGTTCTTGAGTCCTATAAAATTTATCTAGGATATCATCATCTAAAGACTTACCTGAGATTTTATCTAAACAATCAATTTCACTATTGTTATTAAAGTCTAGAGTACTGGTATTTCTTTGCATTCATCTTCTGATTTGTCTAATAATTATGAAACATCTTTGTCAGTTTTTTTCTCTTTGACATTATAGGTGGAAAATGAAAAATTTAGAATTTGCAACTGTGTTAATGATAGCTAAAAGCAGGTTCCAAAGATGGGGTCTGCATTCTTATTTTACACTTTCTTAAAAGATGTTGCAGTACTTTAGGCAACATAATAAGAAAATGAAAGAATGATGTATTCTTGTAGTATCTTTCCAGGCATCCCATTATTCTTTCAAATTCTTATTATTCTAGTCTTTTTTAGTATAATTGGTAATAATTGATGAATAATGAGGAAATAATTGCTAGAATGATGAACTAGCAAAATGTTTCAAGAGAATAGGACACAAAATAAGATCACTAAGATACTATAATAATATATCTTAAGTTTATAAAAGGATCCTGTGGATCCATATATTGGATCCAGCAATTATTAGATAGAATAATTTTTCATCTTTTTTTGAAAGTTATTTTTTTCTGTTATTAGAAGACATTTATTTATTCATTCATTCATTTTCCTTGAGACAAAGTCTCCTTCTCTAGTCCAGGATAGAGTCCAGTGGTGTCATCATAGCTTATAGCTCACTGCAACCTCAGACTGCGGACTAAAGCGATCCTCTGGCCTCAGCCTCCTGAGTAGGTGTGACTACAGGCACAGGGCACCATCCTGGCTACTTTGTGTACTTTTTGTAGAGACGGTGTTTTGCTGTGTTGCTCAGGTTGGTCTCAAACTCCTGGCCTCAAGTCATATTCCATCCTTGCCCTGCCAAAGTACTAAGATTACAAGCACAAGCCACTGTGCCCAGCCTTAGATTACCTTTTAAGAAAGAATAAAAGTCATGAAGTATCAGTCATTAAAATAGTTGCTCAAAAAAGAAACTCAGAACCTGAAATTGGATCTTTATGTTATGTCAAGGGCTAAATATTCTGTGGGTCTTTATTGATTTATGCATTCAACAGCTATTTATTGTTTACTTTGTTTGAGATTCTGTGCACTTATAGTTTTCTTTTTTTTAATATTGAAGTAAAAATAATTGCTGATTTAGTCTTATGTGTTACTCCTATTCTGATCCAATTTTTTTATTTTAAAATTTATTTGATTTTATATGACAGTATAGATTGCTTTGAGAAATAATATTTGATTTAACTTTAGAATTTGCTTACAATTCCATGTGTGAATAGTAGCAAATATGTGAAACACTTGTTGCTAGTCATTTTATGTGATAGCAGGTAGATCTCAGAATCTAATAGATCACCTACTGAATTTGCTTAAAGGGATTCTGTATAATTTGCAGTGCAATTTAGAATTTGGAAAGCAATATGCTCTGTCATTTTGAAATTTTGAATCTTTAGTATGAATACCAAATAAATCAAACCTTATTAAGTACTTTCTTTCTTTCTTTCTTTCTTTCTTTCTTTCTTTCTTTCTTTCCATTTTTTTTTTATTTTGGCATATTATGGGGGTACAGATTTTAAGGTTTCAATAAATGCCCATTTCTCCCCCTCCCCCCACAAGTCTGAGTCTCCATCATGATTTTTTTTTTTTGAGGCAGGATCTCACCTCACTCTGCTGCCCAGGCTAGAGCGCCGTGGCATCAGCTTAGTTAACACAGCAACCTCAAACTCCTGGGCTCAAGCAATCCTACTGCCTTAGGCTCCCGAGTAGCTGGGATTACAGACATGCGCCACCATGCCCAGCTAATTTTTCCTATATCTTTTTAGTTGTCCAGCTAATTTCTTTCTATTTTTGATAGAGACGGGGTCTCACTCTTGCTCAGGCTGGTCTCGAACTCCTGAGCTCAAACTATCTGCCCTCCTCAGCTTCCCAGAGTGCTAGGAATATAGGCGTGAACCACCATGTCCAGCCGCACATTCATTCTTAACCTAGTTGCAGATATCTAAGAGAGACATTATAAAAAAATAGATTGAAGACTTAAAAATGGCTCTTTTGTAAAAGTCAAGACATTATTTAGAACATGTACAATTTTAATACTTCAGAGAGAAAGACCAGAATTGGATAGAATCTATAACTTGTCTATTGTGCAATATATATATTTTTTAATTTTTATTTTAGTTTTTGGCTGAGGCCAGAGTTTTTCCTTGTTCCAAAAACTTTTCTTCAGTATTATTTTCTGGTTTGGAAGGATTAGTGTTAGATGCTGAGTTTTGATTAGAGAGAAGAAGTTTAAGGATTATTAATAAGAGATAGAATACATATAAGACTGAAACTACCCTGCTGTTTTATTTTTTCTGACGGGCATTCATCCTGAATTCATTCTAAATAAATAAATGATCTCCAGTAACCTATGACTTTCCATAATTATATTGTATAGAAGTAAGAAAACAAATAGTTATTAACCAATATTTCAATCTTGGTCAGTTACTCATTTGAGAGAAATTAGATATGTTTTCCAATTTTGCCCCTCTTAAATCTAGAATTAATTCACTAATAGATCATACAGATAAAAACAGAACTGTATATAACACAATGTAGTCCTCTGTTTTCTCTTTGTTGGGAGTAGAGGTTCAGGTTGAACATCTCAAATCTAAAAATCCACAATCTAAAATGTCCCCAAACTTTTTGAATGCTGACATGACACTCAGAGGAAATGCTCATTGAAGCATTTCAGATTTCTGGATTTGGGATAGTCAAGCAGTAAGTGTATAATGCAAATACTCCAAAATTTGAAAAAATCCAAAATTTGAAACACTTCTGGTCCCAAGCATTTTGGATAAGATGTACTCAACCTGTATTATTTAATTCTGATTCACTAATAAAGCTATCTTACTTTAGATTCTTTAAAACAGTGGTCTCCAACCTTTTTGGCTCTAGGGACTGTTTTCATGAAAGATAATTTTTCCACAGACTGGGGAGTGGAAGGGGATGGTTTGGGGATGATTCAAGTACATTACATGTATTGTGCACTTTATTATTATATTGTAATATACAATGAAATAATTATACAACTCACCATAGGTTCGAGACCCCTGCTTTAAAAGAATGACTTAAAAAATAAAATTTGTCCATTGAAATATGCAAGGTTTGTATTAGGTTTGTTTATTGCTAAGTAATTTATTTCACTATGAGTAGTGGTTATATTAGGAAAAGTTCTCTTTTTAGGAAGTCAAACTTTTAAAAAAAAACTTTAGAATTAGGTTTCAGAAGAATATTCAATGGCTTGGGAAAATGTTAGCATATTATTATTTGAAGAAAACAGGTTATAGTATAGTTTGTAAAAGTTTTTTTTAATCTATATTTAGATATGTATGCATAAGTAAAACACTGGAAATTTATATGCTAGAGTGTTTGTAATAATAACCACAGAGTAGATGATTTGCATGCTTTTTAGGAGCTCATCTTGGTTCTTACAGTTTTCTAAAATTTTAAGTTGTTTTAAAAATCAAAAATATATTTAAATAAACTTTAAAAAAATGATTGTCTATTATGAATACACTGGGATGATAATTATGTGATGATAATTATAACAGTACGTATGGCTGATAGAGAATGCCTTCGCACAACAATCTCCAACCTTTTTGGCACCAGAAACAGGTTTCTTGGAAGGCAGTTATTCCAAATGGTGCAGGGGGAGACAGTTTCAGGATGATTGAAATGCATTCCATTTATTGTGCAGTCAAACCTCTCTGCTGATGATAATCTGTATTTGCAGCTGCTCTCCCGCGCTAGCATCACCACCTCAGCTCCACCTCAGATCATCAGGCATTAGATTCTCATAAGGAGCATGCAACCTAGATCCCCAGCATGCACAGTTTACAGTAGGGTTTATGCTCCTATGAGAATCCAAAGCCACTGGTGATCTGACAAGAGGTGGAGCTTAGGCAGTGATGTGAGTCATGGGGAATGGCTGTAAATACAGATGAAGCATTCCTGGCTGGCCCACCACTCACCTGCTGTGCAAATCAGTTCCTGACAGGCCATGGACTGCTACTGATCTGCAGCCCAGGGTTGGGGGGCCCAGGGGTTTGGGACCGCAGCCTTAGCACAATAGCATTGTGTATTTTGAGGAATGAAATAGTTAGAAGGAAAACACCTCATGCCTGGAAAGTATATCTTACTAGGCCCAGGCATGTAACTGTATAAAATGTTACCTTCCTGTGATTTCTGATTAAAGCCCTGACATTTGGTGTTAAAACATGTGGAAATTTATTTTGGAGTTGTAGTTATAATTTTACATATTTATTCTCTTTTAAAATATACTCTTTCATTTTTAGGCATTATCCAATTGGTTTGCTATTTGATCTTCTTGCATCAAGTTCAGCTCTTCCTTGGAACATCACAGTACATTTTAAGGTATAGTTTAAATAGCATTTCCCATTTGTCCCATTTGTGATACTTAATAAATAGATTTAGAGTAGAATTTTTTTGTTAAAGTGAAGTTATTTATTTCTTTTCCCATGACACCTTTTCAGTTTCTAAGCTTCCATTAGTGTTTGTCTATAAAATACTTCTCAATTTCTTTCTAACTCTTGGCAGAAACATTAAAATTTTTAATGTATAAATGCCTTTTCTTTTAGAACGAAATACACTATATCTAAAATTTATAATAGGTTTGAAAATTGATGTTAATTTTAAAAAGTCAGATAGAACAAAAATACTGGGTGTAAATATGGGCATGGGAGTAGGGAGGGGGACAGCCTAGTACTGTTGAGCAATTCTAGGGCTATTTTTATTGAATTAAGAGAAGAGATAGGAGATGGAAGTCAAAAGATTTGATCTGCCTCTGTAAGACCAGGCAAATTTAGTGTGACCTGATTTTGTCTCAATATGTTATAAAATGCTGGTCCTTCATTTCCCCAGTCACCTTGCTTCTGCTCTGTTCCCCACTCCCAATTCACAAACACCATTGAGGGATTGGAAACACTTCTGTTAGTTGATCACCAGCAGTGATTCTCAAATGGCAATGAGTAGTGGGAGGAAGGCATGTAGAGTTCGAAAATGGTGTCTGATTTTCATTCCCATTAGGTGTACCCATTCAAAGTTATCGCCCAAGTTACTGCTGCTCGTTCATTCTTCATACAATGCTTTTCCTTCCTGTTTTACTGAAATTGAGTCCATGGGTTGGTCATTAGAGCTTATTTCCAGGTACATTTGTACTCATGTGCTTTGCATATACTATGTTATTGTAGATCTTAGTAACTGCAGACCTGTGTAGATCAAGCACATGGATCTGATATGCATTAGTTTCAGTTACCATGGTACATGCAAAGCAAGGAATTCTTGTATATACAGCAATTTAAGTTTAGAGTGGTATGAAGATAAAACTATTTCAAACATACTAAGGTGAGAGGTTTTATATTGTCTAACAAGTTTTTCCTGTTAATATTGGAAAATAATAAAATAATCCCAATAGTAAGATTAATTTTGTGTGTATAAGAAAGACACTGTGAAAGACTTCGAAATCTAGATTAAAATATATCATAGCTATCCACTTATTTATTTATTCATTCATTCAGCAAATATTGAGATCCTACTGTGCCAGCCAGTACTATTCTAGGAGCTTGGGATGCATGAGTGAATGACACAAACTCATTCAAACTCTCAGACACTTTATCCTACCTACACTGCATAATAAGCCCACTGTAATTATTGGTTAAATGTGTAAGTGGACTATTATAATGATAAGAAAGACTAAGGATTGTTTTGGTTCATATAATACATTGGGTCTTAAATGAGGACCAATGAGGGTTGGTCTGTGGACCAATGAGGGTTCCCTAAAACCCTTTCGGTTGATCCATCCGGTCAAATCTACTTCTATGATAATATTAAGAAGTTATTTACCCTCTCACTGTGTTAATATTTGTACTGATCTGTGAAAACAACAGTGGTTAAAACTGTGGACACCTTAGCATAGGTGAAGGCAGTGTACCAAACTGTAGTTATTGCATTCTTCACAACTACATGTTTGGGTAAAAAGAATACTTGTCCACTTAAGACTGTTCTGATTGAAGCAGTGCAAATTATCAGTCGTGTCTCTTAAGCATGTGTCTTTTTAATATCCTGTGTGATCAAATGGGAAGTACACACAAAACACTTCTGTTGCATGCCATAATATGGTTGTCTGGAGGAAAAGCATTTGTACCATTGTTTGGTTGCCAGCTGAACTAGCCACTTTTTAAATGGAACACTGTTATTTTACTTGAAAGAATGACTGACAAACTATGGTTGTTCAGACTTAAGTGTTTGTGAGATATTTTCTGAAAATGAGTGAAGTGAACCTTTCACTGCAAGGAACACAATTGTTAGTATTTATTGCCAGTGATAAAATTTGAACTTTTAAGTGTCAATTAGAATTTTGGAAAACATGTATTTGCCACTATGAGCTTGACAGCTTTATTATTCTTAAAGAACTCTCTGATGAGAGTGATTTTTTAAAATTTTCATATAAGGAAAGGTGTTGACATTTGGAGATCTATTTAACTCAGCGAACAAACATTTAGCAGATGATCAGTGCATGATGTTGCAAAATTATGGATATGTAAAAGATCCATTCAAAGTGCAAGGTTAGAATAAGGGATTTTAATGTAACAAAGTATAAAATATACATTGGTGTGGTTTCAGATTCCACATAAATATTATAATAAACTAGTTCAATTTGGGAATAATAATATCCACAAATCTGAAAAGGCTATTAAAATACTTCTTTTTCCAGCTACATATTTTTGTGAGCCTGGATTTTCATTATATGCTTCAACCAATATATTGCAGAATATTGAATGTAGAAGCAAATAAGGTAATCCATCTGTCTTCCATTAAGATATTAAAGATATTTGTAAAAATATAAAATAGTGCCAGTCTTCCTATTTGTTGTTGTTCTGGAAATATAGTTATTTTTCACAAAAATAAGATTTTTATGTTAACATGTAATGGGTTTGTTTATTCTTGGTATTTTTAAGTGAATCAATATTTTTTTAAAGTCTCAGTTCTTATTTCTAACATGGTGAATATTATTAATACAATCCACGTAAAAAACAAAATTCTTTGGGGTCCTTGGTAGGTCATACATTTTCTTCCCAGTAGGAAAGTTTATTAGAGAAGTCAAATAGAAAGAAGAATCTTATAGTTGACAAGAAATTATACAGGACATTTTGAGTTTGCTCAAAGTACCATTGTGTTTCTTTCAGCTGCTCTTACTTATTCTTTCTAATCCTGGCCTATGTTGGAGGGAAATTATTGCCCATATTTTTTTCTGTGTACTAACTTCCGTTCATTTTTTTATTTAGGGCTATATCAGGACCTGGCTTATTTCAAAGGTTATTTCCAGGTGTTTGATAGTGTGTACTGATTGGTATAGGCCCACCTCTATTGTGGGCCTGACTTATGGTTTTTGGTTGGTTATAATGAAACTAGCTAAGCATTAATTTGCAGGTAGAAAAGTCATGCTCTCAGTGAGGAAGCAGTTTTTTTAAAAGTTTCTAGAAAATAGTTTCTTCTTTCAGCAGATGGGATTTATCAGGTAACAATTTTATATCATTTGGTGTGTCAGCATTTATTTTATCTTCTGTGACATTGTACTGAGTATGCCAAATGATGTCTGTTTTAACCAGACTTCTTAGAATTTATTTTACAGTTGTTTTCAAAGGTATTGTTAATAATTGATTTTTATTAGATTTTGTGCAATACTAAAGCCTCCAAGAAACCTCATTGCCTCCACCACACACACACTTTTGGTTCAATTTGTAGTTCAGACTGAATTCTTGAAAAATCTGTGAAAATGTTTTCAAACAGACATATTTTCTCTAATTTTTAACTGACTTTGATGTTTGTGATTTGAATAGGTTTATAATGTTTGTAGTAAATGCATTTTAATGTCTGTAGTAGTGCTTTCCAAACTTTAATGTGCTTTCAAATGATCTGTTTATCTTACTAAAGTGCAGTTTCTGATTGGCTAGATTTGGGTTGGATTCAGAGATTCTGCATTTCTAACAACTTCATAGGTGATGCTATGCTATTGGTACACCAGACCAGATGTTGATTAACAATGTTAGGGAACAATGAAGATTTAAAAATTAATGGTAATTGTCTACAGAACCAAAAGGTTTTAAGGATGAATCAGAAAATTCTTTGGGGTCCTTGGTAGGGTCTTGGGGTCCTATAATGTATTTATAGGAACTTTTGTAGTTCTTGAATTTTGGGAGAGAAATACTATGCAGTTGTAAAGTGTTAATTGCTTTACAATATGTAGATTTGGATATTTGCTTTGCTTTCTTTCTCTGTTTACCATAGGAGTAAAAATGATATCTTTTAAAGGCTTTTCTAATTAGTTTTAAGGACATTTTTTTTTCTAAACTTGGTTACTCTATTGAGAAAATTATTTCTGTCTCCCCAGTTTTTTATATTGAAAAAATTCAAACCTGTATTAGAAAAGTTGAGTGTGATTCAGTGAACACCCATATACCTTTCACCTAGATCTGCCACATTTCCACCTTTGTTTTATTTCTCTTTCTCTGTGTTCCTTTTTTTTCTCTGATTGTTTTTTTTACATTAATCCTATAGGCATGCTACTTGCAAGATACATTATAATGGAAAATTGCTTACAATGTGTGGAATTTTAAAAAAGGGAGGTAGTGTGATTCAAAAATTTAGTGACATCAAGTGAAGACAGTGTGTGTGCTCTTTTAAATGCCCAGTTACAGTGCATATCCTAAATAAAATTTGTTTCAGAAAGCAAACAAATTCAGTAATGCCTTGTTATTTCTCTTCTAGTAATCTGGTGCTGATTTGTTGCATTTTGGTTTTGATAAGAGCAGGCATTTTAATTTTGAATTTTGACAGCAATTATTAGAGGTAAGAGCTCACATTTTTTAAGCAGCATAGCATTGGCATTAAGATAAGTGCTTATGTGCCAAACTCTGCTGAATACCAGGGGATAAGACAAGTTAGGCAGTTAGCCAAGATGCCCTGTCTTTTATACTGTGCTTGAAAAGGCCTGTTATTGGTCCTGACTATTTTTTGAGTATGCTTATATGACTGACCAAGCCTCTTTTCTGATGGACAAATTCTTTCTTGCTAGGCCAGGAATCACTGTGTTTCTTTGAAGGAATTTACCATATGCCTGCATCTTCTGTTGTATGTTGTTGACATAGGTCTGTGGTGGCTTTCCTTGTTGAGTGTACTTCATGATCTCTCCTTCTTTGCTTCTATCACTCACTGCCTGCAATTCCCAGCTATAAATATTGGTGGCTGTTCTTTAGTATCTGTCAATAGTATGTTGTATTAGTTATCTATTACAGCTTAAAACAACATACATTTATTCTGTTAGTTTCTGTGGGTTAGGAGTCTGGGCAAGGCTCACCTGGGTCTTTTACTTAGTGCCTCATGAGGCTACAATCAAGCTGTTGGCCAGGCTGCATTCTCATCTCAAAGCTTGACTGAGGAAGAATCTACTTCCAGGCTCACTCAGGTTGCTGGCAGAATTCATTTCCATGTGGTTGTAAGATTGACAGCCCTATCTTGTTGGCTGTCTGCTGTCAACACACTCAGAATCTAAAGACTACTCAAAGTTCCTTGTCATACGGACTTTCCCAACATGACTGCTTGCTTCAAGTCTACAGAGAGAGAGTCTAGAGGTAGTATGGTAGCAAGACATAATCTTATGTAAATGACTTAATCACAGGAGCAAGATTCTGTTTCCTTTGCCATATTTTTTTTGGTTAGAAACAAGTCACAGGTTCTGCCCATACTAAGGGGGGAAGGGATTATAGAAAGCTGTGAACACCAGGTGGTGGAGATCATGGAGGGTCACAGAGGGTCATACAAACTTAGAACTTTATGAAATAAGGCTTGTTATTAATTTATTCATCAAATATTTATTGACGTTAACTTCTGCTTTTACCTGTGACAGAGTAACTGGCACTGGGTTTTTTGTCCAGCCATAAACAGCTATAAAACAGGACAAAATACCTGAAGTAGAGCTGTTTTAAGCACAGAACATTAGAAAGAAAGAGAACAAACAAGGAGAGCCTTATGTTTAGCCCATTTCTGTGCTTTGGGATAATTTCCTGATTATGGTGTAGGGAGTAGAACTCATGCAGGACAAGGAAGTTCTGCTGAGCTGAGGATGCAGAGATAGGAGTTCTGGGCTGCAGAAGTAGCTGAAACTTGCTAGGCCAGGGTATCAGAGAAGAGGAGCCAAAGTATGTGTGTTAATTCTCCAAAGGTACTTAACCAAGGGCTGGGCTGCACCTGTATAGGGGTTACTTTGCAAGGCCTAGTAGAAAGTGGATGTTATGGAGTTACGAGTGGAAAAAGATACCAGAAGTCTTGTGATGCTAGGAATTGTTGGACTCCAGCCCATCCAAAGCAGAGAGACATCTAGTTAACACACTGGGCAGTTAACCTGAGATGCCAGAAAAGCCATCATTTGGGAGTAAGGATTGTACCTCAAAGTGGGAGTTGGCAAACTATGGTCTGTGTGTCAAATCTGGCCCATTGGCTCTTTTTGCATTGCCTGTGATGTAAGGGTAGTTTTTTCATTTTTACGTGCTTGAAAAAATTTTAAAAAGAATGTTTTGTGACATATGAAAATTATATGAAATACAAATTCTAGTGCCCTTAAATAAAGTTGCATTGAAACGCAGCCATCCATGGAAATTCATGTACATATTGTCTGTGGCTGCTTTTGGGCTCTAACAGCAGAGTTGAGTATTTGCAATAGAGACTATACGACCTACATAGTCTAAAATATTTACTGTCTAATCCTTTACAGAAAGTTTGCCAACCCCTATTGTAGAGTACAGGTTGCTGTCAACCTGCCCCTTTAGGACTAAGGAGAGCTACCAGTAAATTAACTGCCAGTCAGAACAAAACTCAACACCTTAAAGGAAGACGGTATAATCTACAATCCTTACAGCATATTCACAATGTCTACAAAATAGTCAACAATTTCTGGAGTTGCAAATAAGCAGGAAAATGTGGTACATATCAAGTAAAAAAAATTTACTCTCAATAGAAACTGATTTAAGATAACCCATATCTTAGTATTAGCAAAAAATGAATTAAAAGCAAATATTACAAATTTAATGACTTAAAGAAAAAAATTACAAAATTATAGAACTGTATAGAACAAGATCTGAGATAAAAATTTACTACATGGACTTAACAGCAAATTTAAGATGGCAGAAGAAAGGTTCTTTGAACTCAAAGACAGATCCATAGAAATTATCTAATATAGAAAACAGAGAGTTGAAAATTGGAAAAAGAGAAAAAACAGCCTCTGGGATAATATCAGGCAATCTAAATACATGTAATTGGAGTTCAAGAAGGAGAGGAGAGAGAGAATGTGTCAGAAAAAATATTTTAAAGAAATAATGGTTATACTCCTCAGTTTCAAAGCTATATTAATAATAATCAAGACTATGGGGTACCTACAAAATAGGAGAAAATATTTGCAAATCATATACTATCTAATAAGGGTCTAGAATACACAATATAGAAATAACAGAATAAAAAGACAAATAACCAAATTAAAATTGGTCAAATTATTTGAATAAACATTACTCTAAAGAAGATATATAAATGGCCAGTAAACACATGAGTGATGCTCAGCATAATTAGGGAAATGGAAAGAAAAAAAAAGACCACAATGTGTTACTCCTTCATACCCACTAGATTGATTATAATAAAAAAGAGGGACAATAATACATGTCGGAGACAGTGTAGACTTATTAGAACCTTCATACATTGCTGATGAGAATGTAAAATGGTGCAACCTCTTTAAAATACAGTCTGGCA